CCAGCAGCTGTTGTTCCAGGAGCTTTTAACCCAAACCCAGGTGTCCCAAGACTGGCTGTCCCAGTGGAAGGGGCACCAACTGTAAACAGAAGACATCATGAAGACTTTGTGTAACCCATTAAATGCAGTGCCCCTTTGAAAAGGGGCTCTACCCCGCCCGCTCACCCACCACCATCTGGCCTGTACTTGTATTAACCACAGTCACTGCTCAGGTGAAGGATCACTGGGACATGACATGACAAAAAGCACTCTGCTCTGCAATTCTTCCACGAACCATCCAGGAATCCCCATTAGATTAAAGGTTTCTTAAAAACCAAGATTAAGGTCTGCTTTGGACATACAGCAGCAATGCAAGCATTGTAGAGCTACTGAAAATACAACTTGTTAGGCTGGTATATATGGTGCCTACAAATTGCAGCTGACTAGTTACAAGTAATCTATTGGCTTTAACAGAAAACTAGTGAAGATCCTTGGGACCTGCTGCCTAAATCTTAAAGGGACACAGTAAGACAGCATTACGTGGTATTAACTCTAGTCAACATTGACCTTTACTACACATAGTCCCCATAATCAAAGGGAACTGAAGAGTCAACATCTCACTGCAGACAGAGAAAGCAAGTTGTTGGGACTATCTTCAAACCTGGGCTATTGTTTTCCGATACCTTTAAGACAAACACTATTACCTGCCATAAACATAATTCTGCAAGAGGAAACTTGCCAGTTATTACCAGAGGAGCTGGCACACACACAGCTGTGTGAATACTCAGTTTTAGCACACTGTGTCTGCACTGCCAGAACCTAGAACCTACAGCTTTTCAGTAAGTGTGGACACAAAGAGGGAAGGCGACAAACAGCAAGAAGAGCTGCCCTTTGAGTTCTCCCATGTTACCGAGCATCTGCAGCTCCACTACTGACAGGGACACCAACCCTGCTGCTGTTGAGTCCCCAAAGTGATAACGTCTGTATATCAGGACTTACGTGAGAGGCCTGTGGTGGTAGATGATGCTGGGGCTGCAGAACTCGCCACAGATGCAAACAAAGTTGGCCCCGTTGAGCCAAGAACAGAGGTTGTGCTGGTAGAGGCAGTTGTAGCAGCTGTGGATGTTACTACAAACAGAAAGAGCATCAACTTGTACAACCAAACCACATCAATCTCTCACCCTTTGCAGAAGAATCATGTTCAGAATGGGACACAAAATTACCCATCTAAACCAGGTTTTTCATGGCTGAATTTTAAAGTACTTTTTCAGTTATTCTACCTCAATTCTCCCCCACTTCCAGTGTACCCTTTACACCTGTGGCTCCCCTCCACTACACTGCAGCAACATGCACAGAACAGAATTTGGCATATGTAAAGCAATACACAAAAACCCAAAACAAAATCAAATAGAAGAAATTAAGTGCAACAGCTCTATGAACTTTCACAGACTACCCAGGCCACTGCAAATTCACAGTAACAAACACTTCC